GAACACGACAGAAACCTCAACGCGATGCTGCAAAGGTCCCGCGAGAGAGGAGTCCGGCTCAACCCCGAGAAGAGCACAGTCGGCGCTACAGAGGTCAGCTACTTCGGGCATCTTCTCACAGCGAATGGAATCAAGCCAGATCCGCAGAAGATCTCAGCCATAAAGGAAATGGAGCCACCAAAGAACCGCGCAGAGCTGGAAACAGTGCTTGGCATGGTCAACTACTTAGCCAAGTTCGCACCCAGCCTCTCCAATGCTAATGCACCCCTGCGTCAGCTGCTAAAGCAGTCCAGTGAGTTCCTCTGGGACAACCAACACGACATCGCTTTCCAGAAAGTGAAAGACTTGATCACGAGAGAACCAGGACCAATCCTTGCCTACTACGACCCCAACAAAGAGCTCAGACTCCAGGTGGACGCGTCAAAGTATGGACTAGGGGCAGTGCTACTGCAAGAAGGAAAACCCATCGGCTACGCTTCCAAATCTCTCACAGACTGTGAAATCAACTACGCTCAAATCGAAAAGGAGCTGTACGCCATTCTGTTCGGATGTAAGCGTTTCCATCAGTATGTCTATGGACGACAAGTCATTGTGGAATCAGACCACAAGCCCCTCGAGTCAATCATGAGGAAACCATTAGCCGCAGCCCCGCCAAGGCTACAGAGAATGATCCTTCAACTACAAAAATACGACTTCACAATCACTCACCGTCCAGGCAAAGACATCCCTGTCGCAGACACACTCTCCAGGAAGTTTCTTACCTACAAGGACAGCAGCCTCAGTGAAGGCATGGACATGCAGGTGCACACTGTGTACAGCAACTTACCAGTTAGTGACACAAAACTGAAGGAGATCCGAGCAGAAACAGAAAAAGACACACAACTCACACAGCTGAGGAAAGTCATACAGTCAGGATGGCCTGAGGAGAGGAGAAAATGCCCTCAGAGCGTCTCAGAGTTCTGGAACCATCGTGACGAACTATCACAGATCAACGGAATCATTTTCAAAGGAGAGAAAATCATCATTCCTACCAGTCTCAGAGAAGAGATTTTGACAAAGATCCATGCTGGACACATGGGCATGGAAAAGTGCAAACAGAGAGCACGGGACATTTTGTTTTGGCCCGGAATGTGCAAACAAATAGAGGACATGGTTGGTAAATGCCCCACCTGTCTTGAACGACGCCCCTCGAACACCAAAGAGCCAATGTTACCTCACCGTATCCCAGACCGACCCTGGCAGGTCGTGGCAACCGATCTGTTCACGTGGAACAACGAGGACTACATTATAACAGTGGACTACTACAGCAGATACTTCGAACTCGACAAGCTTCACAGCACCACATCTGCAGCTGTGATACACAAGCTGAAAGCAGCCTTTGCCAGGCATGGCATTGTAGAGACTTTAATATCTGACAATGGGCCCTGTTACAAATCAAATGAGTTTGAATCCTTCACAAAAGCATGGGAGTTCACACACATCACCACAAGCCCACATTACCCTCAAAGTAATGGCCTTGCTGAAAAATCTGTGCAGATCGCTAAATCACTCATGGACAAAGCAAAAGCAGACAAGAGAGACCCCTACCTCAGTCTCCTTGAATACCGCAACACTCCAGTTGACAACTTCAAATCACCAGCCCAGCTGTTGATGAGCCGCAGACTTCGCTCAATCCTTCCCAGCACCAACCAGCAGCTGCAACCTGAGGTCGTCAGCTACAAGGAAGTGCATGCAAAACGTGCACAGAGACAACAACAGCAAAAGCGATACTACGACAGGTCAGCCAGACCACTGCCACCACTGAACGACGGAGAGTCAGTTAGAATCCAGGAGCATGGCTACTGGAAGCCAGCAGTCGTCATCCAACCAGCTGACACTGAACGTTCATATCTCGTTCGCACCGCAGAAGGAGCGGTGTACCGCCGCAATCGTCGTCACCTACTGAACACAAAAGAACAACACACTGACGAGATGAACTGTTCCCCTGAAAGAGAACGGGATGGACTAAACACAGACACAACACAACATACACCATACTTACCTGCAACACCACAAGAACTGTTGACTGACACAGAAGCATGCTCAGCTTCATATCACACAAGGTCAGGAAGAGAGGTCAAGCCTAGAGCTGTCCTAGACCTGTGAAATGTCAAAGGGTGTAGGCGGATCGCTGCCCTAAAAGAGTTTCCAGACTGTAAACTTGTTATTGAAAGTTAACTTGAAATGCTTTGGTATTGTATTTGTTTGATATGTTGAGATGTCATTGCTACAGTGAAAAGCTGAGTTGCTGAGAAATATTTGTTCTAAAAATAACAATATGCTGAATCATTGTTTGTCTGTTATGTTGATGCAGTTGGTGCAGTTTAAATGGTTACTTACCTCGAGTTCAAACTACAGAGCATATATTCAAAAGAAACGCTTTATTGTTCCACATATTTTTACTTTTTTTTAAAAGAAGGGGGATGTAATATTCATATGTGTCACCATACTGAATTGTAATTGGATGCATCATACTGCGCAATGATTGGTTAAGACCACCCAGGTGGTGAGGTCATTCTAAGATGATCATGGCCAGAGACATGGACATGCACGTTATAGCTAGTTAATAAAGAGCTACGTTTATAAATATCCTGTCGTCCTGCATTTTATTATTTTGTACAAAGCGTACAAAACAAGACAGACAGTTTTGCACATTTTGATGTATTTGATACCATTCCATTTGTTCCGCACAAGCCATTACAATCAGCCCGTCCTCAAGGTGCCACCAACCTCCTGTGATGGAGATATGCTATGCTACTAGCATCATGCCATGAATATGCCATCTCCAGACAAATCCAATATAAAGTGTTTTTTTCTCAAAGTTGCCGAGATGTCACGTGTCCTACTTATATCAGTACACTTGTAACAACTTAAGCATTATGAAACTTCTATTAGATCAAATAAACCTCATGTAGCAAATAAGCTATACATTTTTGTTGTTGACCAAATTCGACACACATCGACCGCCATTCAAAAACTCCTTGCTTGGTGGGCGAAACAACGAAAAAACGCCACCTGCTGGAGGGAGACAGATTTTCCACCGAGTTGGGCCTCTCTCTTCGTCTTCCTTTTTGTAATGGCTGGGTATGTAGATTACTCGTGGGCGTAGTTTTGCCGCGAGTTTGGAGTGGATAAAAAGGATGCCTGCCAGGCAGGCAAAACTCCATCCCACCAAAACAGGATGAAATTTCAGGTAGTCTTTTAAAACAGCTCTTACACTAAAAAGGGCATTATCGTAATAATTTTCACAATTTCACATTATTATTCCAACCCTGTGGAAATGTATATAAATCAAAGGAAAAATACAGTTTTTGACTGCACTGGGCCTTTAAACAAAAATAATATCGAACTCAATCTCATTTCAATAATGAATTCTGACTTGTTTGTTTCGGTGTGAAGCTCAAACATGAGATTACAGCATCTATGGATCCTCTCAACCTTTTCAGTCATAAATGGTGGACCGGTGGTGTGACGCATAGCCTATAGTTTAATTTTGAGCAGAAGGAAATTCGCTCTGCTCTTTTTCAAGAACCCATCAGAAGATACAGGGTGGCTTTCAACGCTCCAACTCTGCCACAAATTGACAAAAACACGCAACTCAAATATGTAAATCATGAACATAATATAGAGGTAGGGCTTAAACTTCCAAAAAGTCTAAAATAGTGATATGACATTATGTGATTGAGGAGTAAAACAGCCTAATAATAATAATAATAGCCTAATCATCACTATTATGCATAAACAATTCAAAGTACATTTCGATTGAATGTGATTCAACTAATTCGAATGTGGATGAGCTCCTTTGCATTCAGGATAAATCACTTGGATAACGTGCTGCAAAACGCTTGAAAATTATCCTATTTCACTAACTTCGTTTCCAGGTAATTTGAGTGGCGTCTGCATGAAAATTCTCCTTTACGCTTGTTAAACACACATGCATTGCACGCGGTCTCGACCTAATTAATGTAGACTAATTGAATAGCAACAGTGAAATACCGAAGGTAGGCGATGTTCCGCTAAAATCAAACATACGAAATGTTGTAGAAAGCTTGCAGGTCCTACTTTACTAAAGATGTGCTTATTAAAAACGTATTTCAGATTACCATAATTTCTGAATATGATATATTATGCTTAAACCAAATACCTTTGGCCTATATTTAATCTAATGGGACAGCCGAGTCCGGCCTGGTTGCCAGTCTGTTCAGCTATTACATGCCACTCCTTGCACTCCATGTCATTTGTCACATGACACGGAGTAGGAGTGGATTATTAGAGACTGGAACCCAGACTAAGTCGAGTCTATTATGCAGTAGAAATGCCCAGACAAACAGACATATGACATGCTCTATCCAAACCAATGATATACAACACATTCTTCCATAGCTTTTTATTACATATCAGATATTTGGTTTATCATCGGACCATGTGACTATTTGTTCACATAGGGCAACAGAAGCACAGAGCCATTATTCGGAAAATCACAACCACTTTGTAAGAATGCTGATGTGTATTTAATTCCTGCATGATATTGAAAGTTCACACAGAAAGACAGTCTGCCTTCACTTAAACCTGAAGGGGAAATATTACTGAAGACAATTCACATTGAATAAACATCAGCATCAGCCCAAGGTAAATGATGAATGGTAGACAGCATTACAAGTTAAATACAGTATGTTGAGAACATAAAACATGTACAGCGACACGAATCAAAACACCCCCCCCCCCCCAAAACTTTCCACATACTTACAGATTGTGCAGAAACAGTTGATGTATTTGTATCTGTAATTTTGCCATAATCATTTGTTCCAGATGTCATAGTTAAAAACAAGAAACAATAAAATAATTGTCCAAATGTTAATGACATTGTTTGAATTTCATTTTCTTTACATCAAATTAAACAAAAAAATAAAAATTATCACAGCTTTAAAAAGTATGATCAGATACTAAGATGAAATGATAGGTTATAGCTTCTCGAAGTTAATGAACTGGACCACAAGATGATACATACAGTAGCATGGACTTGCTTTCTGTAAGATGGATGTATTGGCCTATGGTTACAGTAGCATACAGCATGTAGTAACTGGTTATTAAGGCATACTGAGCAAACCATGGACCATTCTCAAACCAGTTTAAAACTCCACTGCTTCTATGTTTGGATTGATTATTTCCTCTGCATTACAAAGAAGTCATATGACAAGAGTATACATTAGAGACCCTTGTTCAATCTTATCTAGTACCCTCAACATCTATATAACTACATGTTTTCCTGTGCATGCTTGGTTTTGTCTTGTTTCAAACATGAACATTATTTCATTGATTAAATGAACCCAAACATGTATTCTTATAGCACATAGTTAGCATGCTGCTGGGTTTCTTCCCCCCACACACCTTGACTTTCAGATAAGGGTTGCACATTTCCAGTAACTACTGTAAAATTCCCAGATTTTCCAGAAATCCCAGTTGGAATATTCCAGGAATCAGGAGGGAATTAATCTTGAAACCCAGAACCGATGCTGGCCTCAGGATATGGATGGGGAAAGAGGCTGGGGGGGAACAAGCAGAAAATCCATATTCCTCCAACCAGAATTTCTGGAAAACCTGGGGATTTTGGGACAGTTGCCAGAATTGTGCAACTCTACCTCAGATACACCTTTACCTCCAGATACACTAAACTGTGGACAGTGTTACTACAGTACTACTGCAGTAATAGTACTGTTACTACAGTATTACTACAATAAGTCAACAGCAGTAGTCTTGAAACAGACAACTGTTCCATCTGAAATTTAAAACAAGAATCCTGTTTTCAGTTTATATTTATATCACCTACGTGACATATTACATTCCAGTGTCTTCTTCTCACCAACATTGCACACAAATAATGTAGCGATTATACATCAGCCTACCTACATACAATGTCCATCTTAGTTATTATAATATTTATAACATTATTATAATGTCATTATCAAATAAAATTGTATTTGTCACATGCGCTGAATACAACAGGTGTAGACCTTACTGTGAAACGCTTACTTACAAGCCCTTAACCAACAATGCAGTTCAAGAAAGAGAACCACCTTTAATGAAGATTAAAGTGCTTAACAGTTGTATCAAACCCTAGTAACATTTCTATAGGCTATTAGTCAACTAGTATGCAAATATAAAACATGTATTGTAAATAAAGCATTTATGTATAGATAGATTTCTTTATAGAATACAAATCGTGTTTTAATTAAAGCTCTAAAAGGAAAGAGAGGAGGAGGACATGGGGTGCATCCCAAATGGTACCACATTCCCTTTGTAGTGCACTATAATCGAGAATAGGGTGCCATTTGGGATGCAGTCCTAGCCTCTACTCTTTAGACACTTGGGTAGATCTGAAAGAATAGGATATGTTTAATCAATATGGTAGTACCTCTGCCTTTCCCTATGACAGACTAGGCAGGTAGAAGTTTTGCTGTTTTGCTCACACCTATCCAGTCCTCTCATATCTACACCAGTGCTCTGTGGGTAGGGGCTAGGGTAAGTGTCATGGGGCTAGGGGTTGACTGTGTCCCAAAAATAGTGACTATTTAGGGAATAGGGTGCCATTTGGGACGTAGACTTGTTCCTGGATGGGGCCTATTTGTCCCGTTTCTCCACTTGTTTCTGGTTAGTGTTAGGGTCCTGTAGCTGGTAGTCCTCCAGGATGGCCATGGCCGTCTGTTTGCCAGTCTTCTTCACCGCAGCTTTGATGCCCAGGTTGTCAATGTTGAAGGCGGTGACGCCCATGTTAATGGCTGAGTTCACAGCATGGTCTGTGGCCTGGCCGGCTGCTGCCCCATACCTTATAATCACACACAAACAACTGTTGAGAGGGGGAGGGCTGGGGGGTGAGGGCTGAGGGCAGGAGGAAGGAGGGCAGTTATAGGGAACAGCAAGGACAGAAACAACATGCAACTAGGATTAAAGCCACCACCCATGCAGAGCATGAATTCAACAGAATTATTCAAATTGTCTGACTATTCAGTAATCCGTAAATATACACTACCGCTCAAAAGTTTTAGAACACCTACTTGTTCAAGGGTTTTTCTTTATTTTTTACTATTTTCTACATTGTAGAATAATAGTGAAGACATCAAAACTATGAAATAACACATGGAATCATGTAGTAACCAAAAAAAGTGTTAAACAAATCAAAATATATTTTATATTTCAGATTCTTCAAATAGCCACCCTTTGCCTGGATGACAGCATTGCACACTCTTGGCATTCTCTCAACCAGCTTCACCTGGAATGCTTTTCCAACAGTCTTGAAGGAGTTCCCACATATGCTGAACACTTGTTGGGTGCTTTTCCTTCACTCTGCGGTCCGACTCATCCCAAACCATCTCAATTTGGTTGAGGTCAGGGGATTGTGGAGGCCGGATTGACTGACCTTCATGTCTTAAAGTAATGATGGACTGTCATTTCACTTTGCTTATTTGAGCTGTTCTTGCCATAATATGGACTTGGTCTTTTACCAAATAGGGCTATATTCTGTAAACCCCCCCCCCCCCCCCACAAATTAACTTTTAAGAAGGCACACCTGTTAATTGAAAAGCATTCCAGGTGACTACCTCATGAAGCTGGTTGAGAAAATGCCAAGAGTGTGCAGAGCTGTCATCAAGGCAAAGGGTGGCTATTTGAAGAATCTCAGATATAAAATATATTTAGATTTGTTTAACACTTTTTTGGTTACTACATGATTCCATGTGTTATTTCATAGTTTTGATGTCTTCACCTGTAGTGTACAACTGATTATATTGTGGGGCTGGTGATTGCACTTATTTCTACATATAATACACATCAATTCATACAATTACTATGTATTAGGAATAGTTATATTATTTTCAAGAAAGTCAGGAAAAATAGTTGGTTAGTTAGAAACCAGAGAAATCAGTGTACGCTACATGTTGAATTCCGAGTGTATAGCCGAGTAGGATAGAAGAGTAGCCTATGTTTAGAGAGTAGAGGTGAATCCAGCAGCTTTACATTCAGAGCACCCAGAAACAGAGGCTAAGCTTTGGCCATGCTGCTCGTTACTATTAAGGAGGGTTCATTAAAGGCTCGCTTTAAATACATGTCTTCTTGTCATTAGGAGGGTCTAAGATGTTTTGTAGACCCCTAAATCTGAAAAATAAGTGGAAGAGGGAAATGTACAGTAAGTGCTTGCTTATTTTTTGCTTATAAAACACAAGTGAGTGTTTGCAAGATACACTGCAAAAACCTGGTTTAGCAAAACCTGGTCTAGCAAAACCTGGTTTAGAAAGCAAAAGAACAGACATACACATCAGAGCTGGGTGGACAGGAGCAAATGTAAAGTCAAGCAAGTAGTGCTGCCAATCAGACATGGTGAATGAGCCGAGCACAGAACACATTAGGCAGCTAGCCTAGCGCTTAGAGCGTTGGGCCAGTAACCGAAAGGTCGCTGGTTTGAATACCCGAGCCGACAAGGTGAAAAATCTGTCGGTGTCCTTGAGAAGCCACTTAATCCTAATTTGCGTCAGGGGCGCCGTACTACTATGGCTGACCCTATAAAACAACACATTTCACTGCACCTATTCGGTGTATGTGACAATACAACATCTTTATTTATTTTGACATGGATGCGTCTCAAATGGCACCCTATTCCCTATATAGTGCACTACTTTTGACCAGAGCCCATAGGCTCACCGGGTGCCATTTGAGACGCATCCATGTTGAATGAGAAGAGCACAGACAACACATGTTGGTTGAAGTGTACAGAGAAAGACTTACTTATGCTTGACAGTGTTGACGGTTTCTGAGGCAACAGAGACGGTGATGTTCTTTGCTGCTACCTCCAAGCCAGTCCACATGGTAGCGAAGCCTTCATGTAGAAACACACAGGAACCACAACAATGACTAGACACTTGGTAGAATAGGGGGTACATAATCCATGTGAACCCTCCTTAAGGACAAGACCGACCAATACGAACGTCGGCCATGCGTAGTGGGTGGCCGTCCTATCGCCTCTGACCTCCGAAAATCGGCAGTCATTATCTATTAACTTCCCTACATTCTACGTTGAATCTCCACCGTTCGTTGACACCCAGCAGGTGATCTACTACGCACAGCCACCGTTAGTGTTGTCCTGTCTTGTCCTATACAATGACTATATAGTGACTATAACAACCACAACAGTGACTATGTGTACCTTGAACTCCGCTGGCAGCCACCACCATGGCTCCATCGATGTTGGATCGTCCATCTTTGTCTTTCTTCATGGACTCCGGGACCAACTTGCCTCCGTGTTTCTTCACGTGGGGAGCCAGCTCTCTACCCACACACCCTGCCACCATACACACACCGTCCACTACAAACACAACGCACCCCCCGTCATAACACAACACACACCCCGTCATAACACAACACACACCCCGTCATAACACAACACACCCCCCGTCATAACACAACACACACCCCGCCACCATACACACACCGTCCACTACAAACACAACACACACCCCGTCATAACACAACACACACACCGTCATAACACAACACCCCCCCCGTCATAACACAACACACACCCCGCCACCATACAAATCATCCACACAACACACCCATCCACAACCAATCAGACAGTCAGCTCCTTCCAACACCAGAACCAATCAGAAATCAGCTCCTTCCAACACCAGAACCAATCAGACAATCAGCGCCTTCCAACACCAGAACCGATCAGACAGTCAGCGCCTTCCAACACCAGAACCGATCCGACAGTCAGCTCCTTCCAACACCAGAACCAATCAGACAATCAGCGCCTTCCAACACCAGAACCGATCCGACAGTCAGCTCCTTCCAACACCAGAACCAATCAGACAATCAGCTCCTTCCAACACCAGAACCGATCAGACAGTCAGCTCCTTCCAACACCAGAACCGATCAGACAGTCAGCTCCTTCCAACACCAGAACCAATCAGACAATCAGCTCCTTCCAACACCAGAACCGATCAGACAGTCAGCTCCTTCCAACACCAGAACCAATCAGAGTCAGACACTCAGCTGCTTCTCACCCAGGAACTGGCTGACGCGGACAGCGCCCCCGGTGGCCTGTTTGGCTACATGCAATCCCTTGGAGATGGAGGGGCTGACGTGGGCTGGCTTGTCCTCGGGGGTGATGTGCTCCCGCAGTTTGGATGCCCCCTTCTGGATGGCTATGCCAGTGAATTCAGCCCCCTTCACCAGGCCCCAGCTCAGCCACGATGCCCCTGGATGGAAAAAACACAGTAGGTGTGAGTGAGTGATACACAGCACACAACCCTAACCTTAACCCCTACAGCCTCGGGTTAGGATGTCATTGGTTAGGGTTAGCGTTGTAGGGGTTAGGGCCCTGGGTCTGACCTGTGAGGATGCCGCTGGCCACCTTCTCGCTCCACTCTGGCAGGTTCTTCTCCTCCTCCTCTCCTGCTGCTGGGGCCTCCTCTTCCTCGGGGGGAGCGATGGGCACCATCTGGCTCAGGTTGATGCTGTCTGCTGCCTCATTTGGAACCTGGAGCAGCAGGACTTGTATTAATATGGTGTTTTGCAACAGCGGTTTTACGACACCTGGTGGTGTATATGTACAGCATTGGCAGAAGAACATTCAAGTTTGATTAACTATGCTTCGTTGTCTTGGTCCTCTCTGTTTCTGTAACTTCCAACTAATACAGGACAGGATAGCCTAGCTGGAGCCTAGCAGTCCCTGCCTCATGGTAACCTCCTAGTAACCTCCTAGTTACCTCCTGGTAACCACAAGTGCCTTCTTACCTTAACTCTCCTAGTCACCTCATAGCAACCTCCTAGTAGTAGGCTCTTGCTACCCTAGGGTGCCTCTCCTCCCTCTATCCCCATCCTGATCACAATGACTCATTCTTCTCTAAACAAAAACATGGTCACCAGACATGTTTCAGATGTCTCCTTGCTTGAGGAAAACAGACAGAGGGGCATTGTTCTAATACCATCACTGCTATTCTCAACAAGACACAACCTCCTAAATGTACATACATTCAATGTGATCATGAAAAGCCTACTTGTTTATTGCATTCCATCTCAGAAGCAGCTGTCCATGTGAGAGGTAGTTTATCAACAACAACATGCCATCAGTTAGAACCTGGCTGAATACTGTTGCTCGGAGACAGAACCACCGTCTGACTCCATTACTGTAGTGACTACTGAGGCTGTGTTGTGTTCTAGCCAGATAAGAGCATTAGCACACATTAATGCTCTTCATCTGCCCATTGTCCTAAATTCCCTAACTGCTGAGGCTAGGTGTATTCAGGGAGCAAGCAGTGCTGTAGAGCCTTCAGTGTATGTATCCCAAATGGCACCCTATTTCCTACACAGTACACTACTTGGGACCAGGTCCCATAGAGCTCTGGTTAAAAGTAGTGTACTATGTTGGGAATAGGGTGCCATTTGGGACGCCAGCCAGTTTCTTCCCTCAACCCACAGTTTCTGCCCTACACCCTCTGTATCTGCCCTAGACATTGAGAAAGCCCAAGACCCACAGGTGAAGTAGAGCGCATTACAACAGCAAGCAGACATTTGCACACCAGAATAGAGCAGCATTTACATCATTAGTAGTAATATCCGAAATATGGACCAATCAAATGAATCGTTATTGAGGCTAGAGAGAGCAGAATAGCTCATGTTACTCTACTACTGTATTATCTCTAGGCTGTCCCAAATGGCACACTATTCCATATGTTGTGCACTATTTTGACCAGGCTCTGGTCAAAGGTAGGGCACTATGAAGAAATAGGGTTCCATTTTGGGCCAAATCCCTAATTTGAACCTTACATTCCACTGGGATCATTGGCAGGGATATCCCACTGGCTATAGGGTGAACGCACCAATTGGTGAGTCGCTCTGGATAAGAGCGTCTGCTAAATGACGTAAATGTGCCCTTGAGCAAGGCACTTAACCCTAATTGCTCCTGTAAGTCGCTCTGGATAAGAGCGTCTGCTAAATGACTAAAATGTAAATGTAAATGTAAACAATGCTTGGAAATGACGTCAAACTGTCACTGTTTCTGAATCTGAACTGCTGATTAAGAATGGATGTAGGCAACCCTGTCATTCTTTTCATCCAGGGTGCATAACCTTCTGCACAAGGACACTTGTCATGCTATGGTGGTGTGGCAATGCCTCAAATACACCTGAAATCAGCAAAACCGCATCAGGCAGAGAGATGCCTTTATTATTCTATTACTTTCCCTTGGACCATTCAGCAACCAGCCGACCACCAGACACCTTCATATGGGCCAGTCAGAGAGCAGGACCTTATGGGCCCTGGTCAAATGTAGTGCACTATATAGGGAATAGAGTGGAATTTGAGACACAGCCTCAGCAGCTCACCTGCACCCTGAGGTCTGTCATCTGGGACAGCAGGTCCTGGAACAGTTGTCTGTCTCCTACAGGCAGTGCAGAGGACAGCACAACACCCACGTAGGACCCTGGGGCGGGCGCCATCATGTCCGGGAATATGAACACCCCTGTGTTACACAGCAGGACGGGGGAGTCTGTGGCCATCAGCGGGTACAGCCAATCACACACCTGGAATACATTAACAGTATAACCCATCACACCTGGAACAAATCAACAGTACAGCCAATCACACAGGACAGTATAGGGAGGTTATATGGAACGACTAACCTAACCCCCTCCCCCAGACCAGGCTTACTGGGAAATTCTACAATGACAAGTCGACCCCAACTCCATGATACAGTACTGTTAACCCACTGTGAAGACAAACACATCAATTGGGCTGTTACTATCCCTGACACTCCCACATAGCCATTCCGTTGTTGATTACATACAGGCCTTGGTGAAACATTTCCATCTCCTTATCTTATCACCAGTCTCAGTACATGTTTACACACATCAGGTGCATGTGTGCTAAATACTACGGTCTGTCATAAAGGTTCTATAGAGCAAGCAGTAGCCTCATTTAATTCTACAGTGCATCAGCGGGCCATTCAGTGACATTAGTCCTTTAGTCTGAGTAGGTCCAGTGCTGAGGTATGGAAAGCATGGGGACAGTATTACTGAGGCAGGGACAACCTTCTCCACTGGCCTACTCACTGCAGACAAACAGCGTGGGCTATGCGTGTGTATCTCCAGCTCTGTTCAAAGACTAGTGGTGCTGGTGTAATATTCTGTCCATGTGGCAGGCAGCAGACAGACAGCAGCGGCGTATAGCCAGAGGTTATCTTGTCATGACACCACAGGGACGGGAAAACCAAAGAGGGAAACCATCCGCCTATAATCTGTATCAACTAGGCCTACATTCCTACATTCAGGAAAACACAGAGAAGATTCAACACCCTGTCTGTCTCTTTGCTGTAACTAGTTGTGACATAGATACCTGTGAATCTGACACAGTGGCCACTGGGGTTTCCCACCATGCCATCATAGAGAACACCTGCCTGGGATTAGGGCCACTGAGTCACTGATCACATGATGCAGGACACAGATCATTAGTTGGCTGCTGTGCTACTGCTAGCCTATCCCACATATACACGAGCCTAACCCTATTCTAAACACCAACCACACACACAAACACCTCTGTATGACAGGAGGGAGTTTATGAGCAGAGGCAGAGCAAACCACTGATGATGAAATCGTGTTAGAGTGCACAATGGATACAGAGAGATCAAGGAAACAGATTCCATGAACCCTGTGATTTCATCATACACTGAAATGCTTAGATACAGTAAGTGTTGACACTATAGACAGTGACTAGAATTCATCACCCCATTCCCCCCACATCCCTCTTACCTGCAGGAAGGCTGGGGGGCGGTTGGGCACTCTCTCTGACTGCTGGCTGGTGAACTTGACCATCCGCAGGTACCCTGGGTAGGAGGGAGCACTGACCTGGCCGTCAGGTGTGACAAAGAATATCTGCACCCCGTGAGGCAGGAAGAAGAGTTCTTCTCCATCCTCCCCCAGGCTCTGATGAGAGGGGGGAGACGGGAACATGTGGCTGTAGAACTCCTCTCCCACCAGCGACATCTCTCCAGACTCTGTACCGTAGGAGATAGTCAGGTGGCCATCAGCCGCCTGGGACGAGTAGGCTGGGGGCAGCTCTCCAGGCACCGCAGGCTGTCTAGTGGGAGAAAGAGGCAGGGAGGGAGACACACTGCCTCCCACAGCTCCAGCCTGGCGGTTAGTCATCAGCAGCTTGGGTGGAGACGGCCGCTCTGGTTTTTCCTTCTCCAGTTTGGGGTAGAGGTTAGAGTTAGAGGCTGTCCCAGGGACTCCATTAGAGGCATCTAGAGGGGGTGGGAGCTCAGGGTCTGGGCTGGTCTCTAGGACTGCCAATCGAGTGGTGATGTTGTTCAGAGTCTCCTGCATCTTGTGCTGTATCTGGCGGGCTGACTCCCAGGAGCTGCCCACACACTTGTCCCCCTGTGAGGGCACGCTGATGGACCTGAGGAGGTGCTGGCGCCCCTGTCTGTACTGGGCCAGGGCCTGGGCCTTGTGGCCAGCTTCATCCTCGGTCAGGCCCCTGTTGATGCACTCAAAGGCCTTCTCATAGCCGTCTTTGATCAGCTGCAGCCTGGCTCTGTCAAAGGCATCTTGATTGGCTTCCTCCATGCCTGCCAAGAAGACAAGAAAATACATCCATCTGATGAGATATTATCTCTACAAGGATCTGTTCACACTGCAAGTAGCTAACTAGCTGGCAAAGGTTAAATGATACGAATGAATTATCAATAGCTAGCTAAATAGCTAAATTCAAGGAAGCAATAGTTGAGAATCTCAACAACAACAGCTAACTATTTAGCTAGCATAGCTCTTTACATTAATTTTGAATAAGGTGGCTGGCAGTCAAAGGCAAGCAATAACATTACTGTAACTACCTAGTTAGCTAGCTAGGTTTGTAACGACAGTATCTTATTAACGTTAGTTATCAGGCAATAACATCTAGCTCCTCTGCTTGGATAGCAGGCAAGCCAATTAGTTAGCTAGTTGTGTGTACTTTACCCTTGGGGTGTCGGTAGCTAGCTAGCTATCATGAAAACAAACAGAAACTTGAGACATTTTGTCAATCAAAAGCCATCTAATCTGATACATCATTACCCGCTAACGTTAGACGACAAGCTCCTGTCAAGTGAATGAGGTGATCAACGTCTGACGTCTGTCTTTTTAGCCGTCTGAGCTGGATTTCAAGCTTTTCTGGCAAGGGAAGGCTGTCAGTGTCATGCGCCTGCAACAACCATGTTTGGCTAATCAACAAAATAAAACGTAGCGAGAACGAGATTCCCGACCCTCAAAGAGTTTGGTGGAACAGTTTTGTAATCTTCTCTGTTTACACGTCTATTCTACGGCAAAGTATAAGAGACAAACAGTTCAAAGTCATAAAGTAAGTCACGATAAGACTGATGAGAGCCAGAGGAGGGCGCTGTTGCTCTTCCCTGACCCTTGCCTGACAGAAGGGCTACAGCGTTTTCCCCTTTGCCCCAGCCTGACAAAGTGAAGGCAAAGACAGAATCTGATGGGGGCATAGCTGCGAGAAGTAGGAGCTATTTCATCTAACATATCCAGGGAATGCATGATTTATATTTTGATGTGCAACCTGTCAAAATAAGATCCATAATTATCATAATTATTATCTTTGTGCATATTGGCCAAGGCTATAAACTATTATTCACCATGGGCCCAATTCTGACCCGAGTTAAGCGCACATAAATGGAACATAATTCCCTTTTTATGCACTTTCTCTCTATGCATATTCTGACCTTGAACTTAAGCATGAGAATAGCATGCTATTCACCTGCTATTCGTTTTGGGTGGAGATCGAATAAATGGAGGTGTGTCTACAGATATGCTGTGTTCTGACCGTGACTTACAGTTTTTTTCCAACTGCTTACACACAAAATCTTTTCATGTCACACGATTTTTGAAAACACTCACTCAAAGTGCAAAACTACACACCAAATCTCCAAAACCATAAGCTATTTCTCAGCCTTTGACTCAGTTGTCAATTGCATAAAACACTTTTTTCAAAACACTACACACAATTCTCTACCTAAAACACAAAAATCTAACAGGTAGTGACTTGCTTTCCTTTTCCAAACACAACCAATCAAAATGCTACACTTATTCACCAGGTCACACACACACTCCTCACATGTGCAAACACTAATTGCTTAACTGATCACTAACCAATCACTGCTTTACTGTAGTATAGGCCTATAAATAGGTCAAAGGTCAGATTACCTGTTTTGAACAACGGATGCCAACAATGGACAGAGAGCAAGAGGAGTAGGAGGGAGAGGCAGGGGACAACAACGAGGACAAATTCAAAGACGAAGAGGAAAAAGAAGAAGATGAGGGCAAAGAAAAGAAGGAAGGAGAGCCATCTCTGATGAGATTAGGGCAACACTTGTTGATCATGTGATCAACCACGGTTTGACCATGAGAGAGGCTGGACTGAGAGTCCAGCCCAACTTGAGTCGATTTACAGTGGCGTCCATAATTCGAACCTTCAGAAATGAGAACAGGTATGCAACTGTCTAATGACTATTTTAGCATTACAGTAATGTACTGTAAAATACGTATGACTGCATAGTATTGCATAAACATTTGTAACTCTAAGCCATCCATTTACTGCACTGCATTGAATGAATGAGGTTGGTTATCATGCTGAACACATACTGTGTTTGAATTCTGTACAGAGTGGAAAGGCAAAGACATCATGGAGGACGAGGACGCTTGTTTACAGACGTACAAGAGACTGCAATTATAAATATGGTTTTGGCCAACAATGCAATTAGGATTCGAGAGATAAGAGAGCATATCTTGAATAATGACACCATATTTAACAACCTCAATGCTGTAAGCCTGTCGACCATACAACACATTCTCCAACGGCACCAAGTGACGATGAAACAACTTTACAAGGTGCCATTTGAGAGAAACTCTGACAGTCAAGAATCTGCGACATGACTTTGTAGAGGTATGTATGCAACACTACTTCCAGTACTTCAGAAATACCATATTTACTCATCTGTATATCCTTTTGTCTCTTACAGAGAGTATTGGAGATGGATGCCCATGTAATTCGCCATGAATGTATTTATGTGGATGAGGTTGGCTTCAACCTCACCAAAACCAGGCGCCGTGGAAGAAATGTAATAGGACAGAGGGCAATTACCAATGTCCCTGGATAGCGTGGGGGTAATATAACTTTGTGCTGCCATCACTCAAAATGGGGTCCTCCATCACAATGCCACACTGGGTCCGTACAACACCGGCCATATGCTCACTTTTCTGGATGCAATTTACACAATGCTTGTCCCTGATCCAGATCAGGAGCCTGCTAGATTTGTGGTTATATGGGACAATGTTAGTTTTCACCGGGCTGTTCTGGTCCAAAACTGGTTTGCCACCCATCCACAATTTGTAGTTTTGTACCTACCCCCATATTCACCTTTTCTAAATCCCATAGAGGAATTATTCTACGCTGGAAAGTGTATGATCGCCAACCCAATGACCGCATGCCGCTTCTCCAGGCAATGGAGGACGCATGTGGGGACAGAGGTTGCCTCTGTCCAAGGTTGGATACGCCATGCTAGGAGATACTTCCCTCGATGTTTGGCAAGAGAAAACTTATCTTGTGACATGGACGAAGTATTGTGGCCAGACCCAGCCCGGAGAAGAGATGAAGCATAGCTTAGCACTGGTGACTGCCCCCCCCACCAATTCCTGGACTGACCCCCCCCCCCCCCCCCCCCCCCCCCCCCCCGCCCCGGGACCCCACACACAATTGTGTTCTTTACTGTATTCTAAAGAATATACTTTTGGTTTACATAGGTTTATGGTTTGTTGTATGCTACTGTATACAACAGTAATGTTTGGCCTAATAAATATATTCTGTTTCTACATTGCATTGGTGTTTACAGTGTACTTGTTACCCCTCTCAGCAGATTACTTTCACTGTAGAACATTGTATTGAAATGTAGATAAGCCTATGAAAGACCAAAGAGCTTTAGATTTAGAACAAGTGTTTACATGGTATATCCAGAAATGTACTATTATGAAAAGTGTTTGCCATTTGATGCAAATGCTTCATTCTGACATGTGTTTGTCATTTTGAATGCAGTGTTACGTTTTGAAGGAGCTGAGGCATTTTGGGAATTGTGTGTAGAGTTTTTAAAAAAGGAGACAGTTTTGAAAAAGTGTGTAAGCAGTTGGAAAAAACTAATTCCCACCACCTTTACGCTCAAGGAAACCATGAATAAGGTCTAGCGAACCGAGCGGTTCCAAGTACTTAATTTTTTTCAGTTAGAAATAACACCATTCTCCATTTACTGTAATTGATAAGAGCTAGGTAAATGAGTAATTCGTTTGTATAAGCGAATTGTAAATATAAAAAACACTTGTTTTAGATATTTTAACTTATAATTGCTGGAGACAAATGTGAAACCAGTCATATGGCAGCAAACTGAAACATATCAACATATTTCCCACAGTAAAGTTCATGAAATGCTGTGCCATAATGCAAAATGTAAATTGTACAGCCTTTTAACTTGCAGGGATGGGCATTCTCGAATGTCTTAATTCTAGGCTACCTGACTTTCTGGTTCCTATTTCTATCATGTTAAATATTAGCCACCATCAGTAGGCCTAATATCAACACATTCATTCAACTGCCAATTTACTGTTAGTTCCCTTCAGTTGGTATAACTACATTATCATTCCATTTAATTACATTGTTTCATTTACCTTCATTTGCTTCCTCTGTAAAGGCAGTCACAGCCATGTGGTTGTTGCTGAGGATTATTAGCAACAATTGATAATATAAAAAAAGACGTAGGCTAATTAAATCGTTATAGAGCAGAGCGCAGACCAAGCCATAACAGTTTGAACCCGATGTTAGTGCAGGCAATAGACGAGGGTATAGCCCAGACCCGGTGCCAGGATAAAGTGACTAAGGGGGCAGTTGAAATAGGCGAGGGGGCAATATTTTGGGGGGTTCTTGCATTGGAATGATATTGAATTATGCTTATATAATCACGCTATACCAAAATAAACAAAGTTCAAATGTAGAGACGCCGAGATCATTGAGTGCTTTTGAAATATGTAGCCTCTGTATCAGCAGAATGGACAGCTAGGCTGTTCTGGTAATCAATATAGGCTACAAGATAGATAGGCTGTTTGTAATAGGTGAATTACCCTATGTGAATGCAGCCATACACAGCTCTCTTACCAAAAGAATGCAAACTAAATGCTGAAAGTAGTAGCCTAGTTATCCATGTATGCAAACAGAAATACTGAATAGCAGTTTGGCTTAGAATCCCAACACAGCTGTGAATGCTAATGAATGCAAACAGATCAAAACAGTGGTACCAACTAGTAGGCCTAGTAAACAAAATATCAGATCGATAAAGGCATGACACAATCTATATTTAGGTTAGTTACATTAACAGTAAACAAAAGGCAAATGGAGATCCAAATTACCAAAACACAGCCTACTGCAGTGAGATGCAGCCATGCACAGCTGTCTTGCCAAATAAATAGGCCATTACAGGCCCGCTTCAAACATGGAAAATCATCCCTCTCGCTCATGAGTTAAGCAACACGTTGTGATA